ACCGCGGACGCAGAGCCGCCGCTTTGTTACCGGCTGCGAGAAGCTGCGGCCGCCGCCGCCGCCGCCACCGCCGTCGCCCCCGGCCCGGGCGGTGGCTTCCCGCCGGTTCTCGCCCTCCTCAGCCGAATAGTCGATCTCCCCCTCCTCGGTCTTGAGGCGCTTGGCCTGGCTCTCGTACTCCCGGTCCTCCTCGAACGTCTCCCTGGGCGAGGAGGAGGAGGAGGACATGGCGGCGGCTGGGGGCGGCGGGCAGCGCGGGCCTGGGGGACGGCCGGTCAGTCAGTCTGCGGCGGCTGGACCGTCCGCGAGGGCCGCGCGCGCCCCCGAGCTGACGGCCGAGCACAGCGGGCGGGTTGAACGGGAGGCGTCCCGGGAGGAGGCTCCGGAGCGGCCGCTCCCCTTTATCACGGGGCCCACATCCAGCTCCTGCCTCAGCCCTCGGGGAGAGAAATCGAAGGATCGGGACGCGACCGTAGCTTCCGGTCTTCCCTTCTCCCCCCTCCCTCCCCACCCACCCGCTTCCCCGCCTCCCAGGCCTAGCCTCCGCCCCAGAGGCATGCAGCCGCGTCGGATCGAATCCAGCCGCAGCCCGCGGGAAGCGTTACACTACCACCCCCACCCCCTCCCAGCTAAGGTCCTGTCTCCTATTGGTAGAGAGAAAGCCCACCAGGCTTCCAATTGGCTGTAAGCGCTGCCTGTCAAAACTCGCCGCGCGCGGCGCGGCCCGGCCTCGCCTCGCTCCCGCAGCGCCTTCAGAACTCGACGCCGCCAGAGCCGGCGGTGCAACGCCCGCCGCGCGCCGCCGGGGCAGCCGTTGTAGCCCCGTGGCGGTTGGCGCTGTTGGACGCCGAATGAACGGGCTCCGGCGCGGAGGCGCGCAGCGGGGCCGGGGGCGGGGGGCTGGCCTGCGGGTGTTAACCGCTCCCGCTAATTTACATCGACTTTTTAACTTCGGAAGAGGTGGAGGAAATTCTGTGGGGTGCCGGCCTCCACCTGCGGGATCGGCCCGGGAGCGCCAGCAGCCCCGCAGCGAGCCTTTCCCCCGCTCCGTGTGTGTACGAGATCGGGATCGCGCGGGTGGGTTGTCCACGCTCCTAACTGGTGCTGGAGAGTCGCGGCTCCCCACTGACGTCTCCCATCTTCATCTCTGTGCTGGCCTGACAGCCTCCACCGAAGGTTCTCGGCCGAAAGGACCTGAGCAGGTGACCAGGCCAGGCCCCGCCACGGCCGTTAACCCCCACCCCAGCCCCCAACCACCAGTTACATCAGCCCAAGCCTGACCTGGGCCGCTGACCCATCCTGGCCGCGGGCTGCCTTCGGGGCCCAGCTACCCCTACCCTCCGCCGGCCTGACCCCTGCCCCAGCTCCCCTGACCCCGACACAATCACCTCTCCTGCTCAAGGACAAGCTTGCTACTCTGCATCCGTGGGAGCTAGCCTGACAAGGAATCTCTCTCTGGTCTACATGGCTGTGTGTGGCTTTCATCACTTCTTTTCCAAAGATCCGAAGCCCTGTCAGGATTCTTTTTGCTCTTCCACGTGGCAAGCTTACTTCTTCTGTGGAGCTCTAGGAACACTTATCAGGTTTTAGTTGCTGCTGCTTTTTCTTTTTCTTTTTTTTCAATCGTTGTGTATATTTACAATAAGGCCCTTGGTACCTGCCTCTTAAGGTATCCTTATGAGGAGTACATTGCCGGTTCTCAGTGACCCCCCCCCATAATCCCAGCTACTCAGGAGGCTGAGATCTGAGGATCCAGGTTGCACACCAGCCAGGACAGAAAAGTCTAATTTCTAGCAAAAAGCAAGACGTTGGTAGAACAATATAACCCTTGAGTGAAAATGCTAAGGGACAGCACCCAAGCCCTGAATTCAAGTACCAATACTGGTACACCACACACACACACACACACACACACACACACACAAGTAGATAATTGACAATGCTGAGTGAGTTGCCCTTGATAAAGGCCCAATATGTCTTTTAGGAGAAAAACTGGCAAATCTAAGGCAATTTATTGGCTCAAGAGTTTTTTTAACCTTTGGAATATTGCCTGACATCAGGAGTGTTGGTGTTGTATTTCCCTTGTACCTTGTTTCTCAGTCTAAATATGGCTCTTATTTTCCTAACTGTGTGGGTGGTTTTCTCCTGCAGCCTAGTTCTTTCCAAAGTCATTTCCTTCCAATTTTTTTTCATTTATTGCTGACAATGTTGTGCCATACATTTTCTTGTACTTTGTAGTTTACTTTGCTTGTCACTTGAGACTCCAATTCCAAGTGTTTCTACATGACTGTACAACCATAACCAGATTTGTATGAAGCTGCTGGTGTACATTGACAAAACTTTTTCTTTCTTTGTTAGCCATGGGGCTTGAACTCATGGCTTAGGCACTTGTCCCTGAGTTCTCTTTGCTAAAGACTAACGCTCTACTACTTTGAGCCGCAGTTCCACTTCTAGTTTTTCTGGTGGTTAGTAGGAGATATGAGTCTCACAGACTTTCCTGCCTGGCCTGGCTTTGAACTGTGATTCTCAGAACTCAGCCTCCTAAGTAGCTAGGATTACAGACATAAACAAGCATCCCCTAGCAAAATTAAAAATTTCTAAAGAAAAGAATTGGAGCTGAATTAGTCAAGCGGAAAAGGTCAGATAATGTGAGGTCAGGAAAATGAACCCTTAGATATGTATTTTAATGTTTTTTTCTTTCATGCATGTGTTTCTAACGAATTTATAAGATCATCTCTTTGTTGCTTTGTATGTCCCTCCCCCACAGTATAACCCCTGCTTTCACTATATTTGATGTCAGTATAACTTGTGGAGGAGATGGGGAAAAACCAGTTGTTTAAGGATACAGGTGGACCTGATGCAACAATGAGAAGTACAAGTTGTCATGTCCAAAACGAGCTTTACAACGTTGGTGCGGAGGGGGGGGGAAGGGGAGGAAGGAGAAGGATTGGGATTGGGGGGAGGGGGGAGGCTGGGAAGGGATGTGAAGGGTAAACAAAGGAGGAGGCTGCAATGCTTGGTAAGAAATGTACGCATTATCCTACCCATGCAATTGTAACCCCTCTGTAAAGTATGTTCACAAATAAAATTAAATTAAAAAAAGAATTGGAGCTGAGCACCAGTTGCTCAAGCTATAATCCTAGCAACTCAGGAAGGTGAGATATGAGGATCACAGTTCAAAGCCAGCCCCGGCAGAAAAGCCCATGAGATTCTTTTTTTTTCTTTATGTTTTTTTTTTGTAAAAATAGTGTACAGAGGGGTTACAGTTACATGAGTAAGGTAGTGAGTACATTTCCTATCAGCATTACCTCCTCCTTTGTTTATCCCCTACCATCCCTTCCCTCCCCACCTCCCCAACTTCTTCCTCCACTCCCCAAAGTTGTAAAGTAAATTCATATACATTCAAAGGAAAGAAACATAGGTCCTATGGTTTCCCTTATTTGCAATAACTAGTATAAGTCTAGGACAAGCAGAAAAGGTCAAAAGCTATGTACATATGACCATATAAGATGATGTTAAGTGAAATGAACCCCAAGATAGAGACACTGTTTTTTTCTTGTTTGCTGTTGTTTTTAACGTATTTAAAATGTACTGTGTGATTTTTTTTTTGCTGCTTTTGTATGTGCTTCCCCCACAGTTTAGCCCTGTTTTCACTGTTGGTGCCCTGTATCTTGTATATACATTTTTCTAATTTGGGAAGGGGAAGGGAAATAACAAAATGATGAAATAAGGATACAGGTTTACGCATTGTAACAATGACACTTACAAGACAAGATGTTGCGAAAGTCCATGAGATTCTTACCTCCAATTAATCACCAAAGAAGATAGAACTGGAGCTGTAGCTCAAGTGGTAGAGCACTAGCTTTGAGCACAAAAGCTGAGGAACAGTACCTAGGCCCTGAGTTCAAGGCCCAGGACTGGTGCCTGCGTGTACACACACACACACACACAATGCACCTCTCCCATTATTTGGGAGAGAAACCAGAATTGCTAAACATAGGCTGCTGTACTCAGCATTCACTATGAGTTTATCTGTACCATAAACTAGCCAGCCCTGGGTGGCTTTGAATCTAAATCTTTAAATATCAGCCACCTAAGTAGCTAAGATTACAGGTGTGAGCCACTGGCACCCAGCAAATTCATTCTTTTTAATAGCTGGTCATACTGTGGAGTGTTGGGGTTTTGTTTTGTTTTGTTTTTTTAATACTGAAGGAGTAAAACCTAGAAAGCATTTTTTATAAGACATCAGTTCTTTGGCCCATGGGTAATATTTCAGCTTGTAATGAAGTTGTTCAATGACAGTAGGCTCTTTGATAAGGAAAATACTGGCTAGCTCATCTCTATATCCTGAAAAGAACTCAAATGGAAGGTCATAAATTATAGTCCAGTGATTAGACTTAGATGGGATAAATTACCCACTGCTCAGTAGATGAAAATGCTTAAGAAAAATAAGAAAAGAAAAAAAACTCACATACCATGACCATTTGGAAGCTCTTTGTGTATTACAGCCTCCACTCTTTACTCAGTTTTCCAAATGTGTGGATTGGCTGTTGTTGAGGGTGGCGATCAAGAACTTCACTGTAGTAATGGCAGGTCTAGGAATAATGACACTTAAAGTCCTTCATAATCTATCCCCAAATTCTGCTTGATTTTAAATCTCTTTGTTTATCAATGTAAAGTACAGACAAATTGGTGAGGGTATATAAACAATTTAATGAGCTGGTCCCTGCCTTCTCAAAGTTTACAGTCATACCTAAGGAAAAAGCTACAAGGCATATATATGTGATCATGCAATACAATAATAACCACCTAGAAAATACCACTTTCTGTGCTAACCAATAAAAGGCCATGCCAATAAATTATGCCACAAGCCCTCTACTAGTATATCATTCTTTCATTATACATTTAAAACCATGGTCTAGGAAAGGTTCAGAAACCTGCCATAGGGCTGTAGTTAGTAAGCTAGACAGCTAGGACTAGAAGCCAAGTAATCTGGACTGAAAGCCGGGACTCTTCATCAAAAGAATGATGGTTTAATCACTGTGACATGTAGACATAATTTATAGTCATGACACTAATTTATTCCCTAATTTCTACCAGCTGTTGTAATTCTGGGAATTGGCAAATAGATTACAATTTCTGCCATTTTTATTGGTATAAGAAAAGTCAATTCAAGAAACAACTGCCCAATTGTAAACGCTCTGTATGGTATTTTCACAATTAAAAAAAAATAAAAGGATACTATAATTGTTCTTAGGGGGGAAAACTGCCCAATAAATAAGTGGGCTAAAGACTTAAAGAGAAACTTCTCTGAAGAGGAAAGGATGGCCAATAGACACATGAAGAAATGCTCAACCTCTCTAGCCATAATCAAGAACTCTAATAACAGATGCTGGAGGGGATGTGGACAGAAGGGAACCTTACTGTATTGTTGGTGGGAGTGTAAACTTGTTCAACCACTTTGGAAAGTAGTATGGAGGTTCCTCAAAAGACTTCACAT